TTTTTTTTTTTTTTTTTTTTTTTTTTTTTTTTTTTTGAGTTTTATAAATTTATAATGTTAATTAAATTTAAAAATAAAACTAATTTACAAAATTTTATTTATATAAATTTATAAATATTAATATTTAAAATCTCGACCACCAAAATAAACTAAAATGATATTTGATATTTTGTTTTTTTACTGAATTATGCTCGTATCGATTCTTATCTTCTTACTCATTGAAATGAAAATTAATATCCTTTCACGTATTAAATAATCTAAATTATTGAATAAATCGATGGATGAGTGGATAGATGAGTATGTCATTTTTTTTCTAAAGATAAATGGTTAGTCATCCACTTCAAGCTACCTTATATTATATGAATTCACAAATTATTATATGATCTTGATACACCAAAAATGGGTATATTTTCTTAATTGTTAATAGGGCCTATGGTATATGATAATGACATCCGAGTAACCTAATATGACTACTACGCAGATTATTTTAGTTTATTAATAAACAATTAATGGAAGAAAAAAAGACAAAAAATATGTTTTATACTCGAGTCACTTTTAACATTACATTTAAAATTTAATTGCTTTAGTTTATAATATTGAATAAATGTTAAAATTAATATCATCTCGTAGTTGAAGTTTTTCGTGACTTTATAAATGTTATGGCATTTTAGATTTTTGTTTGGTGTGATTACATTATAGGAAATACTCTTAATTTTTTTTTTTTTTTTGTATATTATTTAAAAAATATTCGAGTTTGCATGAGAAATGCCGTTACTCTATCAGGTATATTAAACATAAACTCGAAAAGAATATGACTAATTTAAGGTACGCGTAAATGATAAGGGATAAGTCCGTCATTTTACATATTAATTAATTAATTTAAAATTTGAAAATAAATATAGACATGTTCCATGCCTCCCATCATTATGCTGTCCCAAGTATATAAGTATGTGTAGCTGTCGAATTTTTTAGACATTTTTAGAGTATGGAACTGAGACATAGAGCTGAAAAGGGAGCTTTTAATGAGGTTTTGCTTTCTTCTTTCTTGGCAATGATCACCTAGGGTAATTGCATCCTATATATACATTTTCCTAAAGATTTTTTTTTTCAAATAAATGCAATTGAAAAAATAGTTTTTTTTTTTTCATTATATATTTACGAGATTAAAGGATATTATGGTATATTGTTGTGATACCCGAGCAAAGGAGAGGTAGAGTACATCTGAATGAGAGTGATTTTAAGAAAATGATAGTTAGAAACGATTAAGAACTGAATCATAAGAAGTCCATAGTTAGGTGTACTCAACTTTGAGTAATCTTATGTCGAGTGACATTATGAGATCTTACATCAGTTGGAGAGGGGAACGAAACATTTCTCGTAAGGGTGTGAAAATATCTCCCTAGAAGACGTGTTGTAAAATCGTGGGCTTGGATTGTTACAAATGTTATCAGAACCAGACATCGGGCAGTGTACCAGAGAGAACGTTGGATTCCGAAAGAGGGGGGGTGAATTATGAGATCACACATTAGTTGGAGAGATGAATGAAACATTTTTCTATAAGAATGTGGAAACATCTCCCTAGTAGACGCGTTTTAAAACCATGCTGATGGTGATGCTGTGAACTTGAGCTGTTATAAATGGTATCAAAGCCAACACCGCCTATCAAAGCCATACATCAGGCGGTGTGCCAGCGAGAATATTAGGCCCTCAAAGAGGGTGGATTGTGAAATCTGACATCGGTTGGAGATGAGAATGAAAATTTCTCATAAGTGTGAAAAACTATATCTAATAGACGCATTTGAAGTTACAACGATACGTAACGGGTCAAAACAAATAATATCTATTAGCGGTGGACTTGGGCTGTTACAGTTTAAAACAAATATGTAACCTATCGAATCTAAATTCTTAAAATATATATTTTTCATAATTTTTAAAAAATTTGTAGCCTCTTAAATATAAAATTTAGTGCGGTTTTTTTTTTTTTCTAATAATTTTCCTACTAAATTCTTAAGAATCTTATGCGTATGTCATATAGAATACAGCATCTTATGTAATACCGTTGAATTTAGGCAATAACAAAATGCAATAAGCTTGGATGCGTTCCTATTGGATAATTAATAACGTAAGAGTATTATTAAACTCATAAATTAGTTGACTATGATTAGGGATTAATAAACACAATTAGGGTGGCATATTATGAGATTATGTACAACACGTGCCATTAACAATTGGTCACGCACTACCCACGTGCTTTCTTTCCGCTTTGAGTATCAAGTTGACATTGAAGACAGTAAAAAAAAAAAAAAAAACAATTTATTATACAAAAGTTTAGGAGACATTTTAAACATGACGAATCATTCTAACATGTTTTGTCTTTTACTTACGTGTGAAAATTTCTAAGCCACTCATTAAAATTAATTAAAATCGGATTAATATATAAAAAGAATCGAGCCACCGAACAAAGAAGAAGAGAGGGTTGGAGTTGACCTTACGAGGAAGCGCCTTGTGTGTCCATGGCTCGTTTGATCATGTTTTTGCCTTGTTCAGTTTCTTTTTAACCTAATTCGAGGTGTCATATAAATATCTCTATTCAATCTTAAAGGGTATGCATTCGAGCGGATACGAAAAACAATATATTTATTTTTAAAAAAATAAATTATACTGTTATTGTTACGAGAAAGTTAAATGTAATAAGTTGTTTGAATTTTGATAAATATTATTTTTTTTTAAATTAGTGAATGATTGAATTATGAAATTACAATATTTTTTAATTTGAATATTAAAAATTATACCAGAGTTAACGGAAATAAAAAGTTAAATGGTATAAAATATATCAATTTTTATTCGATTCAGTCAATTCGAAGTTTTTGTTTAATAAACTTAAAACCGAGTTAAATCTATTCGGATTCAGAAGAATTAACCTAACCTAACTTCTATATGGACTGAGTGGATTCAGACTATCAAACTGTCGGGTTCAATGTACCGATACATTTTTTAAAAGGTTCGTTGTTTGAATTTAAAAAATGTGAAGCATTTATTTTATTTGGGATTAAAATGGTGGTGGATAAGTATTGTTGCCAAATGTGTTGGGTTTTATTTTTATATTATATGATTTATAAATTTATTTTTAAAAAAATGAACATATGTCGTCCGTTGGAAAACGACAAGTCGAATGCGACGGCCCAGCATGACCCAGCCCTTCCCGTTCGGCTTCGGATGGCAGTGCGTCTCCTTCCGCGCGTGAGGCAATAAATCATTTTATTTCCACGTGCTGTCATTTGATTTTTTTTATTGACTCGAATGTATTTTTCATAAATTACAAATTCTAATATTTAATTATTTTAATTTCCTTTTTTGTTTACTTAGTTTTTGAACTACAAAAAAGTTTAATAGAATAATTTTTTAAAATTTATTGTGTGGAAGAATAAAAACAATGACAAAAAACTAAAAAATGAAGGAACTTTTATTTGGAACACGTACCAGGTTCGTTATTGTAAGCTAATGTCTCACCATCTAGCTAATCAAATACGAGTCAGTTAACCGAAGTGGGATCGAAAATCCTCTGTTCCAATCTCGGTCACTTTTCTTCTATTCTTTCTCTTCTCTTGCTCTGATACCAAGTTAAGAATGAGATTGTAAGTGATATGAACCAAAAGACATCAATCCTACAATATATTGAAGATGTGAAGAAAAGGTTGTCAAAATTATCAAAAAGATGTTTCAATCCATGCCACATTGAAGAAGAATGAAGTTTGATTGTTATAAATTTTGGGTGGGTTATAATTTGGAGTAATTTATGTTGTATTTGTAAGGGAGACTGGGAAAATATAGTAAAACAAGCATTTGTGCTATTTTTTAGCCAATGACTAAGTTTTTTTTGCAATTCTATGTAGTTTAGGTTGCATGTAGAATCATTCAAGCTCGACATGATCAATCTTGCTTGTGGAGTGATTCGAATTTCAAACAAGTGTTCTTACGTTGAGATATTTGATCAACAAGAATCATTCAAGCTAGACATGATCAATCTTACCTGTGGAGTGATTCGAATCTCAAGGCAAGAATTTCAAACAATGTTCTTGCCTTGAGATATTCGATCAACAAGGAAATCCGAATCTTACTCCCCTTGTAGTTGTTAAGGATATTTAGTAATAAATTATACTTTCCCGTATATATTATATTTGATATTTTATTATAAGGCAAATATCTAATATTTGCCTTATTACTATAGATATCTTTCCATTTATTGTTATTTCCATTTATTACTATTTCCATATCCTTGTAATTTATTTGATTATAAATAAGATAACTTTCATAACATTTAGGTGTGGTGGATTAATCAAACATTCACAGTAGTGATTCCTTATCTTATCAGTAAATCTTCTGTTCTGATCTCTATTTCGCATTCTTGACAAAGTCCCTCCTCGAATAAATTCTTCCTTTACTCTTTAGCGTTTGAAGTATTGATAGTCGTTTCCAACGGTCAATGTGGAGTCTATGACTATAATAAGAACACTCTAAGTGACTCCGAGCATGAAACCGTTGAAGTTGAAGTTGATGACTTCGAATCTCAATGAAATAGTGGAGAATACATGTATTAGTCCTTAATCGGTTGGATATGAACCGGATATCGGTTCGGTTTGGGTGAGGATTAGGAGTTCGTTTAAGAAACGGCAGAAAATATCTCCGTGGTCCAAATCGACGGTTCAGATCCATTTTCTTACGCTACGTCTACGAGCGGAGAAAAGTACAATGATTAAGGAACCATCCATCATTTCTTGCAGCACAAAACCGCCAAAATTCCGCTGTCCGTTTCGGTACAGTTTACTCTTCTTCCATTTCATTTGATTTTGTGATTTCAGCGATCAGTTTAACTCGAATCGATCGGATGAACTGGAATTAGTTCCACGCACTCGTGGTTTGCGCCGAGGAAATTTTCGATCGAGATTGAACTCGTTGCTCTACAATGTTTTTTCGGAGAAGGTTAAATCGGCGGATTCCTATGGTACGCATTTGTGTTGAATTTTTAACTTATTTGCTTCTCCATGTCTCTGCAAACAAATATCTGATTGTTAGTTTGTATTAACTAGCAACATTGTGAATTCTGCAGCTGTAGTTTCTGGTTTATTTTTGAAACGATTACTGGTTTCGAAGTGTATAGTATAGTTAAGAATGTTTTAGAAGTGTAATGGTACGGAAATAAAAAAGAAGGCGAGATACAGGGAAGAAATCTACATTGCTTTTGTGTTTTTGATCTATGGGAGTATAAGGCCAGAACGAATTTTATCAACACTCTAACACGTAGGCCAGCCTTTTAGTTTGATTCATCGACTATTGATACGAATTAGAGGATGAATTAATATCGTAGAATGGAAGTTTTAATTCTTGTATAGAGAATGGAGGTATTAGCTTAGCACAATGAAGAATCGCAGTAGTAGAATGTTTCGTTTAGGATACAGAAAATCGCATTATAATGTCTAAACCTCCATATGAAGAGCTTCTTGGTCATAAAGTTCGGCTGATTCTGTTTTTGTACAATTTCTTGTGTTGAAGAACAAAAGATAAAGTCCGTCTTGATATTATCCTTTTCTACTTCATATCAAATCTCAGTTAACTTTTCTTTCAAACGACATTATCTGATTTTATGCATTTCATTTCTCATATTTTTGCTTTTAGTTCAAACTTTTTGAATCTGCCTATCAGATTCTACATGATGCAGTGATGCACTCGATAAATGTCATTCTGGCATCAGAGTTGTGTTGGTTGTAGTGTAAAGCGTTGTTATCTCGTCTTATTATTACACAACATGCTACGATTTTGTATTGTTCGCAACAAATGATATGAAAAGATCTATCCAGTTAAAATTTAACAGTACGCACAAATGCCCCTTCCCTAATGTATATTCATACTTTTTTTGAACTTCGAATTTTGAAACTCCAAAATTGGGAGAGTCTAAAGACTTTTTAGTCTTTATGAAACGTGAAGTTTAAGGATCTATTGTCATAAAATTGAAAGATAGAGACCTATTAGATATTTTTTTAAGTTTAAAGATTTATTAGACACAAAGCTAAAAGTTTAAATACTAAACTTGTAATTTAGCATCCAAGGCACATTAGCATGGCGTACTTCTCCTGTTTGAACCGGGGTTTGAAAGATCAGGCCGAAAGGTGTAGTCGATGGACAATAGGTAAATATTCCTGTACTACCCCTTGTTGGTCCTGAGGGACGGAGGAGGCTAGGTTAGCCGAAAGATGGTTATCGGTTCAAGGACGCAAGGTGCCCCTATTTTTTCGAAACTTGTTCAAAGTTTCATAACAAAATCATTACCAAATAGGACTAAGTTTTCAGGTTGAGGAAAGTACTTCCTTTCTTTTTTGTTTGCTTGTTTTTTTTTTTTTTAGTAAAAAAATTAATTTTTAGAATCAATAAGTGTACGTCGTTGCTAGTATAACCGTCCCTAGTGAAACTAACAGGTAGAACTCATTTCTTTTAGACAGCTTAGTATTATCTAGGACTAAGTTTTCAAGTTGGAGGAAAGCACTCCCTTTCTTTTTGTTTGTTTGCTTTTTTAAATTTAATTTAAGAATCAAGTCAAGTGTACACTGTAGCTAATGTATACCGTCCCTAGTGAAAACAAACAGGTAGAACTCATTTCGTTTGGACAACTCTGTATTGTCTTGGTGCAAAACTTGTTAAGTTAGGCTGAGCATGCTAGAAGTGTAATTAGTGTCTCACAGAAGTTCTTGGTTATATAAGTACAAATAATATTGTACGGTTATGAAAATATGAATATGAAGATGGGCATGTTTCTAAGATAACAGAAAGGTATTATTTCTCTTAAGTAAATATGGGATGTTGGTTGTCTTTTGATTGGGATTGTAATGTCAATTTAGACATAATTGTGAAGTCTCACATCGGTTGGAGAGGAGAACAAAGCATTCCTTTGGGTGTGGAAACCTCTCCCTGGAGACGCTTTTTAAAACTTTGAGGGAAAGCCCAAAAAGACAATATTTGCTAGCAGTGGACTTGATGTTACAAATGGTATCAGAGTTAGACACCAGGGGGTGTGTCAGCAAGGATGCTACACCCTCAATGGGGTGGATTATGAGATCCCACATCGGTTGGAGAGGGGAACGAAACATTCCTTAGGGTATGGAAACCTCTCCCTAGTAGATGGATTTTAAAACCTTGAGTGAGAGCTCATAAGTAAAAGCACACAAAGGACAATGTCTGCTAGTAGTAGGGGCTTGGGCTTGGGCTTGGACGGTTACAATAACAAATAACATATAACCAACGTAATTGTGGAGACAGAAAAGTTTGTTGGTAGATTAAAATTAGAAGGAAAATTGGCTCCTTACCAATAACCTTGCTTGGTTAATTTCTTAATCATTACCATACATTTTTGGCCAAGCTTATGACTGTTTTGGCCTTACATATGCAGTTTATTGTAAACTTCGTTGATTATGCTCGACAGTGGCATATTGTTTTAACTTTAACCATCACATATTTACGACTTAAAGCTAATTTGCACGGATTTCAATTCATTTGCAGGACTTATGCATCCCGTCTTTGAAAATTCCTCTCAATTTGCTATCTATTACGTCAACTTTAACAGGTATGCTTTACTACAGATCTTGAAACTTTTGTTCAGTTTCAAAATTATGCTCCATTCTTACTGCTTATTGGCTCAGATTTCCAAATATTTTATGGGTCTATCATGCATTAGGTTGTTTAGTAGTTACGCTTTATAAAATCATATTACTTATTTTCATTATCAATATTTTACCAACAATTTCAAAATTCTAAGTGAAATTTTAAAACTAAAAATTAGTAATTTGTTGGCCCATTTGATTTTTGTTTTCTTTATTTTTAAAAATTAAATTTATAAAGTAGGTTTTTTTGTCGAGTTTTGAAATCAAGAAAAAAAGTAATTTTTTAAAACTAAGGACCATGGCACGAGGAACAATTGTAAGACAACAAGCATAATGTTCAAAAAACAAAAAATAAGGATCTTATCCCATTTAATATCCATTTTGATTTTTGGTTTATTGTTTTTTAAAATTGTTTTTGTTCTCATATCAAATGAGTTTGATAACAAATATAGAAAATGGAGCTCTCATGCCTTCCCAGACTATATGAGATTCTATGATTCGATACTACTTTTACAAATATTTTTAAATTCCAAGCTAAGTTTTAAATTTTATAGTTGTAGAAAGGTGTGTGTGTCAAAGCCAGAAACACCATTGTCTATATTCAATTGAAAAGGCATTTTCAAAAACGTTTTGAAAAGGGATAGGCTTTGAGATTGAAGATTCTGTATTCTATTGGAGTAGCCGTGTAGGATGCGCATTGTCTTGAAATTCTCTTTTTAGATCTTTGGTTTCCTCGGGATATTTTTGAAGTTGGTTTAAGAAATTTTGTATTTTTTAAAAAATGTTTAATAGATTTACACAGCTTTTCCATTTATCCACTTAAGCATTTTATTTAGTTGAAAATTTAATTTTATACTATACTAAATATGAAATAAGTATTTTAGAATTCTATATATCAATTAAGTTTTATAATTTAAAATATGTTAGAATTTATTATATACAAAATTCAAAGTCATGAATTTATTAAAAATTTTGAAGTTTTAAAACATATTACATTAAAAAAAAATTATCACACATTTTTCCTTCTTAGTCGGTAGAAAATCGACAAAAAGTAGAAAATTCATTTATAATAGAAGATTCTTTTTTGGTGCAAAATTAGCACAAAATTTATTGCTATGTACTTTTGAAAGTCGTCTCACAAAAAGAATTGTTAGTAGAAAACAATAAGTACAACAAAAATAAAAATGTTCATAATACTTTTAAGTGATTTATTTGTGTTTAGATACAAAAATAAAAAATTTATAATTTTTAAATTTCAATTTGACATATAGTAGTTTAGTTAAATTTTCAAAAATTTTAAACATTATAAACACCTCGATTGAAGTTCTTAGACATTTTTTAAATTTATTGATCTATTAGATATAGAATTGAAAGTTTAATGAACATTTTTTTAATATAAAAGGTTATTAGATATGAAATTAAAATTAAAAATTCATGGATTTATCCAACCATTTTTGCCACAAACATAAAAATTTTAAAATTTAAAATCTCTACATAAATAATAAAAAATAAATCTCCATATAACCTATTATTTAATTTAATTTAATTAATATTATTAATGTTATTAATATTAATATTATTTTATTTTATTTTATTTTGCAACAAATCAAATTTACTCCCTCCCAAATTAAAGATATAATTGTAGTACTAAAAACGTGGAGACTAAAAACAGGACAAACCCATGTTGATGTTATTTTGAAAAAGTTGAGGAGGCAAATACTTTCATTTTTTTAGGGAAAAAATTAATTTCCACCTTATATTTCAACTCTAAAATTTCAATTTATCAAATATTTTCATAAATTTAGTTAAGTGCTACAAATGTACCTTTAAACTTAGTTCTTATTTAAAAATTCATTAATTTTTTGTTTCATTTTATATATGTTTTCATTAAATTATAAAATATACTTTGACAAGATTAAAAAGAAAATGACACTAGAGCTAAATATTTATAAAAATTTGATATTATTGAAATTAATGAGTTTAGTAAGATTTTAATGTTAAGATAGAAATTATAACATTTAATAAAAATTATTAGAAATTATAACATTTAATAAAAATTATTATCTAATTTAATAAAATTGAAATAAACAAAAGGATTTATTAGGAAACGTTGTTGTATTATCCTGATTAAAATAAAATATTTAAATAACAAACAGGAGGCTAAATTCAAAATTCAAAGTGAGTGAGTGTTGAATTTTGAATTAATATTGGAGGCATTTGCCTCTGAGTTGGAAAACCAATAAACAACAAAAATTAAATTAAAAATATCCAAACATATAAGAAGACAATAGGTGTCTCCATCGGGTGGGGCATTTTCCATTTCTATTTCAAAATTAATTTTTTCTATATTTTTAAATAATTTCAAAACTAATTTTTTAATGAATTTTCTATATTTATTATAAATTATTTTAGCAGGAAAATAAAAGAAATTAAATACTATTCATTGGCTTTAGCACAAATTTATTTGATTTATTTATTATTATTATATTTTCATTTCTTTTGAAATTTATCTTAGATAAAAATACTTTATATTTCGCGTACAAATGAAGTAATTAAATTGTATATTTCATCTTTGACTTATCGTTTATTTTATGGTCCCGAAGTTTAGAGTTATTTTCGGTTTAATAACATTATTTTATTTCTTAATTTCCATAAATGCATGATTAATTATTTTTTTTTAAGAATAAAAAACAATTTTTTTTAAATATTTGCTTAGAGAGAGAGAGAGAAACATGGGGTGCTGAAAAAGACGACCAAGCAAAAAAAAAGAAAAAAAAAAGAAAAAGACAGATTCAGTGACCGTTTTGAATTCAAATTCAAATAAACTTGAACCGTAATCTGACAGCTCCTGTGACTTTCGAAGGTTGCAAAAAGGACCCACACAGAGGGAACAAAACCCAAAGGACACCTACAGATGGAGGTATCAGATTCGTCTGTGACGCTCAAAGGGAAACCCGCAGGCGAAACCCAAATGGGCTCCATCTCTTATGTCCGCTCCTAACGAATACCGAGTTTTGGATCGACGGTCAGGATCTGCCTGAATTCAAAATTATCCAAATTCCCCGCCTTAAAGAAAAAAACCCGTAATTAATTAAAATCCCCTTTATTATAAATCACACTTGCCCTCTCCCCTTCATTTTCGTTAACGCTCTCTGTTCTTCTTCTTTCTCTGTGTCTCTCTTTAAATCCAAACCCCATCGGTCAAATTCTCTTCAAATCTCAAGAACTTTAACTGTCTTTTGTTTCCCTCCATCCCCACTTTTTTCTTTTGGTGGTTGATTTTGATTCTGCGCTTTCTTGGTGCCTCTCTTCTCACGCCAAGAAGGTTGGAGTTGGCATAGAAGAGAGATTCGTTTGAATTCTATTAGTTTTCTTTGAATTTCTTAAATTCTCATCTGGGTTTGATCCGCTATGCCTGCCCATAATCGCCGCTCGTCGTTTTCGTCGTCGACGTCCTCGTCGTTGGCTAAACGACAAGCGTCCTCGGCTTCCTCGACCAACAATGTCGGGAAAGTTATGGTGGTTCCGCCGCATTTGGCGAAGAAACGAGCTCCACTTGGTAACTTAACGAATCTTAAGAATGCGTCTCATAGTGCTGCGAAAAGCTCTGTTCCGCCCCCTGTTTTGGTACTTACTTGACTCTTGATGGTTTTTGTTGTCTGGCTTCATTTCGTTTCGTTTTTTTTTTTTTTTGGAATTTGACTTTCTGGGTGTTTCTGAAATGAATTGTTTAAATCTCGTCAATGGAGCTCAGTTTTATTGCTGAATCTCTGTACCCTTTATTGTTTCCAGGTACCCTGTGCAACCAAAGCTGTCAAGACCAGAAAGACACCGACATTGCTCGATGTCAAAACGACCAGTGTAGTTGTCCCTAGCAATGTCACAACATTATCAAGAACTGATGCGATTGCTGTCTCAAGTAGTATGGCTGTCTCTCCAACTAAATCAGATGGAGCTTCAGTTTCCATGGATGAAACTATGTCTACTTGTGATTCTTTTAAGAGTCCCGACGTCGAGTATGTGGACAATAACGACGTCCCAGCAGTAGATTCTGTTGAGAGGAAAACTAAAAGCAGTCTCTGCATTTCAGGTCACGTACCAATTAAAGGTGAGCTCATGGACAAATGCTTGAGGAAGTGTTTTTTTAAACCAATTGTTCTTGTTTTGTATAGATTTCTCAGCAGCTGTTTTGGTGCCATTTGCAGGAAGCATATGCAACAGAGATGTACCAGCAGAAATGGAAACAGATGGCTGCATCATTGATGTTGATACTGATTTCATGGATCCACAACAATGTGCTACAATTGCTTGTGATATTTACAATCACTTGCGAGCATCTGAGGTGATGATTCTCTTCTTTAATTTACACCCATTGTTATGCCTTCAGAATTAGTTTTGAGGTTGTCGGAGTATTATTGGGAGTGAATCCCACCTTGCTTAATTGCTTAATTTAGTGGAAGATCATGAGTTTATAAGTGAGGAATACTATCTCATTGGTACGAGGTCTTTTGGGGGAAGCCCAAAGCAAAGCCATGAGAGCTTATGCTCAAAGTGGACAATATCATACCATTGTGGAGAGTCGTGTTTGTCTAACAGAAGTCTGATTGTTTAATTGTTTAATTGTTTAATGTTATTGGTTCAGGCAAAGAAAAGGCCTTCTACGGATTTCATAGAAAAAGTTCAGAAGGATATAAATTCAAATATGCGAGCCATACTGATTGATTGGCTCGTGGAGGTAGCAGAAGAGTACAGGCTTGTGCCTGATACTCTTTACTTGACTGTGAACTACATCGATCGATACCTATCGGGGAATTCGATGGATCGACAACGGTTACAGCTGCTTGGTGTTGCTTGCATGATGATTGCTTCGTAAGAATTCGATACCATTGGTGATCTTTCCGTTTCGTTTTCTTTTCGATTCGATCGTCTGATGTTGACTGTAAGAAATGTGCATTATTCCAGAAAATATGAAGAGATCTGTGCACCTCAAGTGGAAGAATTTTGTTACATAACTGATAACACATACTTCAAAGAAGAGGTTTTGCAAATGGAATCATCTGTCTTGAATTACTTGAAGTTTGAAATGACAGCTCCAACACCCAAATGTTTTTTAAGGTAGTCAGTCAATGAATTGTTGTTGTGATGTTCACTTTACTTTATTTCATTTCACCAATGAGCTCATAATTCTGAACCATTGCTTCTTTGTTGCAGACGATTTGTTCGTGTTGCTCGAGGCGTCGATGAGGTTTCATCGATGCAGTTGGAGTGCTTGTCGAACTTCATCGCTGAATTGTCTCTTTTAGAATACAATATGCTCTGCTACGCCCCGTCGCTCATAGCTGCCTCAGCGGTTTTCTTGGCGAAGTTCATTCTTCTCCCGACTAAGAGACCATGGGTATGGAACCATCCTCTATCTCCTCTAGTATTTCTTTGATATCCCACATCAGTTAGAGAGGGAAACGAAACATTTCTTTTAAGGGTGTGCAAAACTCCCTCTAGTAGACGCGTTGACAGCAATACGTAATGATAATATTTGTTAGCAGTAGACTTGGGCTGTTACAAAAGGCTGATGGCTGTATGTAACGAGCAAAAACAAACGAATTAACCAATTAAGCTCATCCTGCTCTTGTCATCTTTTGGAACAGGACCTCACCTTGCAACATTACACACATTACCAGCCATCCGATCTCGTCGACTGTGTTAAGGATTTGCATCGCCTCTGCTGTAACAGCCATAGTTCAAGCTTACCAGCAATCAGAGAGAAATACAGCCAGCATAAGGTCAGCTTCTTATCCACTTCTGCCTGACAGCACATGATTCTAAGTTAGTCATACGTTGTTATGCTGATATGTTGGTGTTTTTTGATTCAGTACAAACATGTGACAACCAAGTACTGCCCTCCGACAATACCGACCGAGTTTTTCCAGAATCGAACGCAGTAGAGATTTGAATTCCAATGCTCAGTTGATTAGTAGCAGTCTGACTTTAACAGCAGGTAGAGAGAGTGAAGATTGGAGAGAGACATAAACTGCCACTGCTTCTTTCTGCATAATGTCGGGATCTTGGCGGATGGTTGTAATGTTGTAGCTAATTACGAAAATTCCGAGATTTGTACAAAGATCAGTTCATATGTTTGTCATCCTTCCTCATAATTTGATGTTATAAAGGGCAATGAAGGGGGAGTGACTCCGAGAAATCTTTACATAGATTCTTTTTTTTTACTTCATCTTAACATTGTGATTATACACTTTGTGTTTACCATCGGTCGTTAGTGTTGAAATTCTTCTCGTCGTCTTCACCCGCGTTCATTGAAATAATATCGTCTTTGTTGAAGATATTTTAGCCCTGACTTCGAAAGAATCGAAGTTGCTAAATCAAATGGGTCCTGATACCATGAGAATATTTACTAAAATTACATTAGGACACTTGTTCACTAATTATGACGGTTCGCTAGGGCCTCCTTTTCTCCTCCCTTTTCTGCTCACTCGTAGGGTCCGGTCCCTCACAAAGGGGGAGGGAGTCGATTGAACATCTCAGCCATTGGCCGGAATTTCGCCCGCATCTGATCCCCAATTCTTGTTCACCACCGATGATCGTGTTGGGTGAATTATGACCTCGTATGATAGTGTCGGGTGAGCAAGAGCCGCTTTGTCACAATACTGACTTATAGGCTAATGGGTCACACTTTGGCCAAGTATCCTACAAAGAGACCCCCGAGAGCCAGAAGGATTAAAGGAATGGTCATAGGAATGGGCGCATCATGACATCTATGTCTCACCCGTATAAATTAGGGTGAAAGTTTTCTTTTTATAATCATCTATAAAATCAAATAAATTAGGAAGTAAATAGAAAAAGTGATAAATAGATACAAGATATTTGGGTCGAATATGATATTTTTGGTAAACTTTAATAGAAGACTAACGGTAATGAAAGACTAAATATCCTTAATCATACAAGTATTTGTTTTTAGAGTTTCGTCAGCTGCAGAAGGGGAACTGTTGTTGTGGTCGGTCGGGAAGGTGAAGATGTCGAAGGTGTGGAAGAACTTGCCGCGGGCGGTGAAGACTATGCTGTCACCGCCGTGGGCATTGCCGCCGACGGCGGAGGGAAAGAAGATAAGTGAAGAAGTAAACAGAGCAGAATCAGAGACATGGCCAGTAGTGAAGTGACAGTCGAGACGACAGAGGTGCAGAAAAGGACAAAAAAGAACAAGGGTGCCGTAAATGGTTGGGAAGTGGACACGCTGGCAGATAAGTAGGTCCTACATTTTTGGAGTTTTGTTGACGTGGCAAAGCATTATAGGGTTAGTTACATCATTTGTTTGAAATTTTGAAAACAAAAATTTTAAAATAATAAAAAAAAAACTACCAAGACTAAAATGTTAATTAAAAAATGTAGAAATAATTTACAAATAAATAAAAATACGAACATATGAAATAGTCACACTCAAATAAAAAAAATAAAAAAAATAAAAACGAAAAATGAAATCGACAATTTTTTGGAATCATAATAACAATTATTTTTTCGCGGAAAAACATAGAAAACGAAAATTTGATCAATGAAGAACATACTCTCAAGTGAATGCGTTAAGGAACTGAATCACTGTAGCAGCTGAATTTTCTCTGCTCCTCACTTTCCTGGAAATTTACAGATTTTCTCTTCCTCACTCTCTGCTACAGAAGTATTTAAAAAGTTTTCGGCATTTCAATTTCAATCCAAATCTACTGAGCATTTCTTTTGTTTTTCGCTTCTATCCTTCAGGAATTTCTGCGATTTCATAAATGAGCTTTTTGAGGCCGTTTATGTTGTATTCTACGCTGCGATGGATGACGTGCTTGAGTTGGGGTTTTCCAAGATGGCCTGGATTTGACGGCTTGCTCAGATGTCTTGTGGTTTTGATTTTGTGGTCTATGTATTTGGAAATTCATTTCATTCCATCGTCGTCGATGTATCCAACTCTTCGTATCGGAGATCGAATTCTCGTCGAGAAGGTAAATTTGTTGAGTTCCTCTGGTTTTTAGATGAATTTTGGAATTAATCGATCAAATTTTTGAATCGATTTAGGTTTCTTCTGTTGTTCTGAGTTGATTTCTTGAGTTCGCCTAGATTTTTTAGGGCATTTTTGTGCATGTTAAATGATGATCGTAGAAAAGTAGATGTGGATTGAGATCAGATCGAACTCTATGTTGGTAATTTACTTAGGATACTTGAACCCTAGAGTTCTCGAGACAAATGAAATGCTCAACGATAACAAGAATGAAAGGAACTGTTCATGTCATTTACCTTAGACTGTAAGGAAAATTTTCATGTGATCTTTTTCAAACTAATACTTAATGTTCTGATTGCATCTTGTTCTTCTACAGGTCTCTTATTACATCAGAAATCCTTCTATAGATGACATTATAACCTTCCGAGACCCGACACAGGTTAGTTTACAGATGACTATCCTATATGTCTTTTACTTCAACAAATTTGCTTTTAACAGGACTCTGTTGGAATTATGGTGTGCTATAGCAATCTGGACGCAGAGAAGAGAACCTCGTTGTAAAGAGAGTTGTTGCTAAAGCCGGAGACATGGTTGAGGTATGTAAGAGCTTTCTTATCATTACGCTATTGCTACGTGTCACATTCTTACTCTTGCGGTAGTAGGACAGCGATTGTGCGACACTTGTTCAACTCAGTGAACAAGTCAGCTGTGAGAAATTCGGATTTGCGGACAACGTTGCATATGGTTGAGCCTTGAGTCATGTTTGAGAGAAATGTTATAGGAAACGCGAGTGAGGAAATGCGTTGAAAACAATGTGAAAGAAAGTAATGTTATAAGCTAAAAGCGAGTAGGTAACAATAACGGTTTTGATAACATATAACCCGAGTAGGAAGAAGTGACAACTAGTGATATCCCTTACTCATTTTGGGGCATTTTAGCCATGACGAGTGTAGTCATGATTTTGGTGAATGGTCACACACCTCCGTATTGACACAACATGAAATAGTAAAGGCGTATCTAAGATGAAAGCATGTAAAATGAGTTTGGAATGGACATGCGCCATGGACAACACGTTCTGGACAAGCATGACAAGGATATCCGACATGCGGCCATAGACAATACGCCTTGGACAAGCATGACCGTGACGTGTACACTCATAGGTACCCCTAAACTGTGGCTCTAGTAGTAAGAAACTATGATACTTGGTGTATCCGAGGTTCTAGGTTGTTCAAGCCCATACAGAAAAATGTGTGAAGTCTCCTAGAGATTAGTTAGAGAGAGCTACGAGAATAATGCAAGAAATGGAACTCCTCAAAATGTATATCTACATTTCCTTATTATTAGTCAGAAACTTCTACAGATTCCACATCAATTTGCAGGGGAAGACTCCTAGAGTTTAAGAAACTAATCATTTATGTGGTTTCTATCCAACACCTTCCAGGTTTGTGAGGGATGTCTCTATGTCAATGGAGTTGCTCAGGATGAAAGGTTCTTAGCGGAGCGGCCAACATACACCACAAAGTCAACTGTGAGTTTTGTTTCAAACTCTACCTTCTTTTTCATTTCACTGCATCATCCTGCAATTTTCTATGACAGCACTAGGACTTCTAAAGCACATCCTTAGGGATTTTATAGCAGAATCGAAATGGTTAAATTGATTTGATTATGCATGATGATCGGGTATGATATGACTTTCATAGACTCAGCCTCCTTACTGACACCGCTCGATGTATGACTCTGATACCATTTCTTCTCTGCCCAAGCCTACCGCTAATAGATATTGTTCTCTATGGGCTTTCCCCTCAATGTTCTTAAAACGCGTCTGTTAGGGAGAGGTTTCCGCACCCTTATAAAGAATGTTTCATTCTCCTCCCCAACCGATGTGGGATCTCACAATTCACTCCCCTTCGGGGCCCAACGTCTTCGTTGGCACTCGTTCCCTTCTCCAATCGATGTGGGACCCCTTAATTCACCCCCCTTCGGGGCCCAGCGTCCTTACTAGCACACTGCCTCGTGTCCACCCCTCTTTAGGGCTCAGCCTCCTCGCTAGCACATCACCGGGTGTCTAGCTCTGATACCATTTGTAACAGTCCAAGCCCACTACTAGCAGATATTGTTTTCTTTGAACTTTCCCTTTCGCCCTTCCCCTCAAGGTTTTTAAAATGTGTCGGTTGGGGAGAGGTTTCCACTCCTTTATAAAAGAATATTTCGTTCTCTTCCCCAATCGACGCGGGATCTCATAGATTATCTCCGAATTCATGCCATTGATTTGATGGAATTAGATGCACTCATCTGACTAAAACCATATTAGTTTCCCACAGAAAGTAACTTGGAGTTTCTAGTTGTTAATTTTCGCTTGCTTCGAACTTGCAGCAAGTTCCAAAAGGCCACGTTTACGTGTTGGGCGACAACCGCAACAACAGCTACGACTCCCATATTTGGTCAGTGTTACTAAGTTCATGTTATATATGTATGTTATGTTTGCTGGGTGCTGGTTCTGATCATCTCTGTTATTGAATTTGGTATAAGTTGCAAATAGAAGTGAAGGAATGGAGTATTCATTTCATTGTTCTTCATTTGAACAGGGGACCTCTTCCCATCAAGAACATTATTGGGAGATACCTCTGGTCTTGCCACAACCCAACTACCAAATGACTTCATTTAACACCATCAAGTTTGTAAGTTCCACATCCTCATATAACATTGTTTTATTTTTCTTTCATAGATATGATTCTATGAATGCCAAAGAAACAATTTTTTTAATTTTTTTTATTCTGATGTGTGGTTGGTTAACGGGTGTGTTTATAATATTTTTGAAACATGGTACTAATAGTTGCGTCATATCTTGTTTATGATCGTCATCATTTTTGTTACGTAGTTTCCTCACTCATTTCGAATCCTTCGTTATTAGCATCTCAAACTCTCTCAATCGTTTGACAGCATTCAGACATTCATATTTCCTTTGCAATTTATCCTTTTTTCCATATTACGATCAATAATTCTTACAACTACATGATATAAAGTAAGAAATTGAAACCATATATTTACAACGTGCAGATTCTATAATCTAAATGTTACGTTGGTTTGATTATCTCCACCCATTTATATGATTTGATTCTAACCAAATATTTTAGTATCAAATCTCCAGCAATTATATTATATAAATGGTACGTTTGTTCAATTATTTCAGTCTATTCATATGATTTGATTTGATTTCTCGTATTTCTATTTTTAAGA